GGGTCCCAGAACAGACCACTGAGGGACACCACTTGCCACCTCTGTCCAGCTTGCAAATTTACCATTAACAACAACTCTTTGTACTCTATTTTTAAGCCAATGTTCTACCCAAGAACAAGCATTTTCATCTAGACCGATTTCCTTGAGTGTGAACACTAATCTAGTGTGTGGAACTGTATCAAATGCCTTGGAAAAATCCAAATAGATCACATCCACTGCAACACCCTGATCTATACTTCTACTTACTTCCTCGTAGAACGCTATCAAGTTAGTTTGACATGACCTTATGCTGATAACCATGTTCTTCTCATGGAATTCTTGAATATTATCCCTTAATAACCTTTCAAATATTTTACCAGCCACAGAAGTTAAGCTCATAGGTCTATAATTTCCAGGCAAGGATTTTGAACCCTTTTTGAATGTAGGAACCACATCTGCCTTCCTCCAATCCTCTGGCACACTTCCCGAAAGAAAAGAATCTTGAAAGATTAAAAACAGAGGTTCACTTATTTCTACACTTAGTTCCTTAAGTACTCGTGGATCGATACCATCAGGCCCTGGAGATTTGTCTATATTAAGTTTCTTTAGTTGCTGCAGTACCTTGTCTTGAGTTAACCAATTACAATTACTCTGCAAGTTTTAGTAGCAATCATTTGCACAGCTATTGCCATGGGTTCTTCCTTAATATATACGGAGGAGAAATAGTTATTTAAAATTCCTGCCTGTTCCTGATCTTCATTAACTAACACCCCCGTTTCCGTTTTTAGTGTACCTACACTTTCATTTTTTGTTTTTTTAGAATGTATTTACTTAAAAAATGCTTTGGGGTTGGTTTTGTTCTCTTTAGTGATCATTTTTTCATTTTGAAGTTTAGCAAATCTAATCGCCTTTTTGCACGCATTATTGGCTTCCTTATATCTTTTATAAGATGCATCTGATTTGTCCGATTTAAATGCTTTAAATGCCCTTTTCTTATTTTTAACCCCTTAAGGACCAAACTTCTGGAATAAAAGGGAATCATGACATGCCAAATATGTCATGTGTCCTTAAGGGGTTAATCTCTTGTTTTACTTCTCAACTAAGCCACATTGGTTTTAATTAGTTTTTTTTATATTTATTACCCAATGGTACATACTGAGAAATGCACCTTTCTAATATTTGTTGGAAGATGTTCATTTATCCTAAAAGAGTTTATGCCAGTCAATATATTGTAAAGCTGCCCTTAACTTATAGAAATTGGCCTTTTTAAATCATGTGTTTTAGTATACCATATGAGCTTTTGGTTTTTTTTAAGTTAATTTCAAAGGACACTATATTGTGATCACCATTTCCCAAGTGCTCACCTACCTGAATGTTGGTCAAAAGATCAACGTTGTTTGTTAAAACCAGGTCCAGACAAGCGTCCTTTCTAGTTGGTGCTTGTACAAGTTGTGACATGAAGGTGTCATTTAACAAGTTTAAAAACCTAATTCCCTTTGCTGAGCTACTAGTCCCTCTTTCCCAATTTATTTTCGGGTAATTAAAATCTTTAATAATTAAAGTGATACCCAGATTTGCAGCTTTCTCTATTTGTTCAAACAGCTGTTGTTCCTAATCAATATTAACATTAGGTGGTTTATAACATATCCCAACCAATAGTTGATTTCCCTTCTTTTCCCAAGCAGATATTTACCCATAAAGCTTCCACATTTTCCTCATCACATTCCACTTGCTTAAGATTTGGCTTTAACTCATGGTTGACATACAAACATACCCCAGCAGCCTTCTTGTTTTTCCTATCCTTCCTAAATAACATGTACCCATTTAAGTTAACTGCCCAGTTATGTGTCTCATCCCACCATGTTTCAGTTATGCCTATTATATATTGTTTTAGTGTATGCTATTGCCTCTAGTCCCCCCATTTTGTTATTTAGGCTTCTTGCATTAGTAAGCATACATTTAATATCATGAGTCACTTGTACTTTTTGCTCACATTGTATTAATAAGTTTGGTAGAAATGCTAGAGTAATAGGTAGATGCCCAATATCTATAGAGTCCCCATTCCCAAACCTTCAACCCTCTTGCTTCACCCCCCTCCCCAAATCATATTTCCCCCAGTCAGGCAAATGGATGCATAATGTATGTTTTAAGGTACAAGCGTAGCTTCACCGCCTCAAGGGTCACTATGCAAACCCTCTCCCTATATGGGATAAACCCTAGCTGCACTGTACATAGTAAGATATGCTAATTGTGTTGACGCCCACCTAATATCTATTTCTCCAACTTGCCCAACCACCATGTTCTCTACCTGCAGATCCACTTGGCTCTGGGCCTCCACCTGGGGAATGCTCGGGGGTACCTACCATGGGTCATGGGAAGAGTTTTGCCCATATGTGGGCAGGGGGGGGTGGGCACAGCACTGAGCTCAGTCGAAGCACACATGACCAGTCTGCCCCTCACACCCACGGGAGACCCTAAAAGTCCTCTTATGACCCAAACCCCCTAATCTCCCGACCTAACCCCTTAGAACACCCTCATGGACCAAACCAGACAAAGGTTAACGGAACTTGACTGGACACGTATCATCAACGGGGCTGCCCGCACCCCCCCAGATGCTTCCCGGCAAGCAAGCACAGGGATCATGGGGCTCCAAACTCATAAGACTGCTGCTGATACATGGCGCTACCCACCACCAAGCCCCTGGAGACACCTGTGAATACCCTCACAGACCATAACCCCCTAAAGGCTCACGGTTTTCACTGCCCCAACGTCCAATTTAAAAAAAATAAAAAGTGTCCTCCTCATTCCTCCTTCTCAACGCATACCGACAAGTGCATAGATCCCAGAGTTTCTGAGACAAGGCAAGAATCCCACTACATCGGCCAGGGGCGCCACCGAGCTCCCTTCAGAGCCACAGACTTTGCACCGGACCCGTAACTCCTCCGGCACTGAGAATCACACACAATTATCGCGATCACCACCCTATCATCCACCTAGCAGAAGGTGGCGACACCTCACTCCTTACCTTCCCTCAATTTCTCACGGCAGGGGATAGGTTTAGAAATCCCATCTAAACTCATCGCCCCTTAATAACACATTCTAATCACTACCCAAGGATTGGCTCCCGCGAACCTAACCGAACCAGATTTTTAGAGTTCTTCCTTGTTAACTAAACGAGACAGCTCTACACACCCGTTACATTATATTGCACACAGGCCACCTGGCTCTCTGAGAGACCTATCCACAGTGCGCAACCAATACCCGGGTGACTCAACAGATTCACCTGGGCACGCCACCATAGGATAACCCCTGCAACCTTCAGTCCCTGCTGTTGACACAGCAACTGTAGGCAGCATACCTTACTGTATATAGATAATTTAAACACCCCCTGTTTTAATCTTTTCAACCCCCACCCCTTCGCCTTCTTCTGTTTACACCAGCCTCAAGCACGCGACTGGGTAGAAAAGTGAGACCCTGTTCACGCAGCCACGACCAACAATAGCTATTAGTATAGTCACACTCAACACTAGGGGCCTTAACACCACAGAAAAATGATCCATGGCGCTAAATGAACTACACACTCTTAAGGCAAACACAGCCTTTTAGCAAGCAACACATTTTAGGAATGACACAGCCCCGACCCTAAGAAACAGAAGCTTCCCAACCGGCTACTTTAGCAATTTCACTGATTCTAAAGCTAGAGGGGTAGCAATACTGTTCTCTGCCCATGTGCCCTTCACTTATTCCTCTCATAAATCTGACGATGCTGGTAGGCTGCTCCTAGCCAAAGGTCAAATGGGTCAAACTACAGTTACACTGGCCAATACCTACCTCCCCAATAGACCCCAACGCAACACTCTCAAAAAGCACCTCAAAGCGATAGAATACCCTCAGTGAACTGTTCTAATACTTGGAGGTGATTTCAACCTATCCATACAACACGGTACCAAGCGACTGCTCGAGCATGAATGGCAAACCTGCTGGACAGTAGACAACTATATGACTGTTGGCCCGACTGCCAAGGACTTCTCCTATTTCTCCCGTCACACACTCTAGACTAGACATGCGCTTCCTATTACACAGATTCCTTGACCTAGTACAGTCCGCTAGCTACGGATCGATCACGTGATCCGGCCATGCCCCCCTGTCTCTTGCCGTGCGTAAACCCACTGTTCCACCGAAGTCGTTCCAGAGGAAACTGAACTTCTTTCTTATTAATGATCCTGAAGTCGTATCCAATCTCAGGAAATCCATAAGAAATTACTTTACTACTAACTCTACCCCTGACACACCTTTGCTCACCATTTGGGAAGAGCACAAATGTGTGCTGCGAGGTGAGTTGATTGCACTCGCAGCACGGCACAAAAAACTTAGGACAGACCAGAATTCGCGCTCTCACAAGCAAAATAAGATCACTAGAAACTGGACACAAAAGAGACACGACTGAGCACATTCACAGCCCTTACGGCTAAACGTTCTGCCCTACAGGCCATATTAAACGCCAAAACCAAATGAGCACTCATGCTCACTTAATACTCCTACTACTCCGAAGGGGGCAAATGTGGCCGCATGCTAGCAAGTTCCCTGAAACAACAAAGACAGTAAACATACGGCACCTCCAGCTGGAAAAAAAGCCCAGGCCCAGATGGCTTTACAGCCAAATACTACAAAATATTGACATTATCCCTAGCTGAGCCCTTTACACGAGCCTTCAATTCCCTTACGCGGTTGTCGGAATTCCCCAGTCAGCTGGTCATTCTCTGGTAATGAGCCAAGACCTGCAGCAGTGGCGAAGTTCAGGCAAGATGTCAAACCATTCTAAAAGAGAGTGTGAGTACTTATAGGGGGTTGGGCAGGGGTGCAGTCCACTCCTGGCATCATAACTACTACAGTGAGCTGTAGTGGTTACAATGCTTAGATAAATCATTTCACTATTGTGTACTTTAGATGTATGGTACACCAGCTTTATTTCTATACCCTTAATTTCTTACAAAGGGTGGTTTATTAAGAACAAAACAAGTGCCAGTTTGTGTGCAAGGTTCTAAGTGTTGAAAGACAGTCTTTCTGTTGGTTTCCATGGTGAACACTTTTTGTTTAGCACTTTATCCTAGCACACCTGTTTTACCCCAATAATCTAACTCAAATGTGTTCAATAACAATTATGAAACGTAAAAAAACTCCAATATATACTTTAACCATATATTTAGATTCCGGAATTCTGCACTAAAATACAGCACATGTATTATTACCTAAAATACTACACGGGATGGCGTTTCTTGCATTTGCTTCCTAATTCCCTGAATGTACTCTTTAGTGCCCTTCATCCTCTAGTGACTTTACTCTTGGTTAAAAAAAAATAAAAAAAAAAACAGACCAAGAATGGGGGATCTTCAGTCTCTCCCAATATTCATTCCACTATGGCAGTAACAAACTAAACTCAACTAGAGCACATGAGAGACAGCAAACTGGTTGATGCAATCAGAGAAGCAGATTGCCCGGTCTATTCTCTAATTAACAGTCAGCTACCACAACAACACGTACAGCCCTTTCTGTGTCCTATCTATATAAGACAGGCTAATTCCCACCGTCCTGCAGCAGAGTTTAATCTTGAGCTGAAAAATCCAATCTCTTTACTCAAATAGGTATATCTGTCGCAGTGGACAAAATTCGGATGGACTACAATTTTCCTCCGACCACAACCATATCTATTACCCAGCTATGTTATCCAAATGACTTATAACAAACTCCATACAGAAGTAATGACATCGGAAAATGCTTCCAGGTATGGGCACAAAAATTAATAAATTTAAAAGCATTTGGTTTTATAATTTAGAGTGTTCATAGATACCAAGCAACCCCTCTATACAAAAAAGAAAATAAACATAAATAATAACGTGCCATTTTATCCAGTAGCAAGTCCCCTCTTCAACTGCCCTGGTGAGAATGTCAGTGACGACAGTCTCCCCCTCAGGTTTGAAAGAAATTGATCCATGTGCAGCCATTGCTGCGAATATGCCAATCAAATGCAGTGATCACCCAATTGTTCAGTGATTTAGAAAGCCTGAACTGCCATATGTTGTTTTTAAATTAATTTATAATAGTGCCGATTTCTCTTCAAAGTGTCACTTTTGTGAATAGGGCTGAAGTGGTACTTTAACCCAGATGTGAGAGAATTTTTTTTGCAACTTCATTAAAATCCACAAATGTAGATTATGTGTACCATTGTCAGTTGATAAATGTCACTTTAACTTAAAGCCTTACTAGAGACATATGAATTCCTCTAGCCAAATTGAGTTATTAGTTTGAAAACCACTGGCCTAGAGTGTTTACTAGAGCTCCCTGTCCCCAAATTCAAGTACTGCTGAAAATATGTAGAAACAGAATATGAACTTTAAAAACTGCTCTGCTTGCGTTATGTTATGTTAATGTGTAAAAAAATGTCTAAAATTGAAAATATATAAATAGTGCAGTAAGCTTCAATTTGAATATATTTGTTATTATACAGTCAAAATCAACTAAAACACGCTCCACGTAAAACTGCATAACCATCTCGTTTCCAGTCCGTTCTGTGAATGTCTTTCCTCTGTCGAGTGATCGGAAGATTGTTCAGTAGATAATGTTTCAGACAGGATTATTGCTTGGGCTGTTGGTACAAGTCATTTTGATCACCATACAGTTTATGATAATTTGATGCCCTTTAAGTTTTGTTGCAGGTTCAGCTGCTCCTTTTCTTGTCTGCTTTTCTCAACTTTGAAGGCCTGCTTATTGGCTTTCTTTTCTATTCTACGTTCCTGGGAAGAAAAAAAAAAAAAAAAGACAAGCAATTAATATTATTCTCGTTACATAACTAAAAAGAGTCTTGCGTCCATCAAATACTCACATATGTTTTTGCTGTTGATCCGAAATAAGGCAAAAAAAAAACCAGTCTGAAGCACTTCCAATTTTGCAACAAACTAAGAAAAAATGACTTCTTGACCCCAAAAATGGCAGACAGATATCTTCTTGGATCAAGCAGCTATTACCCCATTAATTAGAAATTATATCCCTGTATGTTATGTTTTTGCAAGTATTTTGAAATATCATTTGAAATCTATAAAGCATTCTACATAGACAACTGTTTTTCTGGCACTATATTTTCCCTTTAAGTCTCTGAGATATGAAGCCAATCCTCAGAAACGTGATCATGTAGTATCTTTAAAACTGCCTATATGTCCTATCGTTTGGAAGTTTGTTACCTTGCGTTCTTCCTTTATGGCTTGTTTCCTAGCTTTCCGCTCATCTGTGGACTCTGTCTTGCAACGTTGCTGTGTGGACACTCTTGGCAAGTCACTACTGTTAATCATTTCCATACGCTCCACTTGTTTTGCAGTAAGACCTCTTGCAGGAAGTACACCCAATGGCATCCCAGTTTTTGAAGACACCACTATAGGTTTAGACTGAAAAATAAAAAAAGACAATAAGCATATTCTACTACAAATTAAAGATGTCATAAATCAATCCAAAAGCCATGTTCAGAAAAATGTTATCTTGCTTTTAAGTTTTCTTGATAAATTTTTGGGGAGGGGGAGTTTATATATATTATATATATATTATATATATATATATATATATATATATATATATATATTTTATTTTATTTTTTTATGATTTAGGATTATACTACCTTTGTTGGTTCCTTAATCATCTGAGGGTGATTGTATAAATTGGAATATGTACCTGGAGAAAAAAAATAAAGAGAAAAATGTTTTGAGGCAGAGATAATTTTGCCACGTAGTGAACTTCTAACATGTTTATATCCATACGTTAAAAATATTGTAGCCATAGAGAAGTTAGTATGACCCTTTAAAGAGAGCCAGCGCCAGTGGCCTCCTGGTCCCATAACATCTTCATTTCAATTAAGTTATTGTGGTGCCCAGAGTTTTCCTTTAAAGGCCTACTCCAAAGGCAGTTTCTGCTTTCAACACTGCACATACGGAGAGATTTGCACTTGTGTAGTGGGGACTAGTTACACCACCCCGACACAGGTGACTTTGGCAGCTTGGAACTCTGTTTTAAAATTACCAAATATCAAATCTGTGCAAAAAAAAAATATGTCAGTCATCATCAAGTACTACATGCTAGTACAAGGCATAATTAGCTTCTTCCTGGGAAGCGTTTGTTTCTCATCCCTCCCTATGCCCTTGTTACTTTTTTTCCCCCTTTTAAAATTTGAACTGCCTCAGTCTCTCGCTTCCCTTTGCAGGTTAAACTGTCTCTATGAAAAGCCTGCAACGACTACCATGATCAGACTGATGTCAGACAGAGTGGAAAGCCGTGCTGAAGCTAGTTTAAAGTTTTACCTTATTTTCAATTTTATGGGGATGGGGACCTAAAAAATAAGGCATTATTCGTAAAACAAAAAAATAACACTGCAAATTTAACCCTTTAAATGTAAAGCTTTAGAGACACAGAAATAATAAGCCCCAGTAGAAAAATGCAATATATGAGAATGGAAAATACTGCAAATCTATCATACTTACTCAGGAAAGATTCACAGTCCCACTTTTCACCAGGCTCCTCTACAACCACGGTCTCCATTTCTTCATTATCCTCTTCAACCTCCTCAATTATCATATCCATCCCCTCTCTGGGGGTCCGGTCGTCCAGTTTTACACACCTGCAATAGTAAAACACCACAATTATCAAAGTAAGCACAAGCACCATACTTAAAGAACAATATAAAATTCACTACTGCACACTGAACAGAAACATTTTACATTTTGAAAGTGCAAGGCTAAACAGAAATACAACATAGCAAACATGTAAAGAAGAGTGCAAATAAACCAAAACCTAGAGTGATGAAGTTAAAAGAACAGATTTAGTAGGACTGCATTATTTTGGACACGTATAGAACACAGCTGGAAGAAGACCGTATTATTTAAGTCTGAGTTTTGTATTACTTAAAATGTTAACGTCCCAGTCAAAAAAAGTCATTTGCTGATCTATTAAAAAAAAAAAAAAAAAAACACCCAGACACGATATGACGTCAGTAAGGCAGCCACTCAAGTGTTCCTGCACTTTAAGATATAAACCCTGCAGCCACATAATGGAAGAAATAAGTACGTACTCTTTTGCCTTTTGTTTGTAGTAATCCTCTATAACATCTTGAAGACGATTGCTGTCTGAGCGAATGAAGCCTTCCAGTTCAGCATTATCCAGGGCCCCAATTTCATCATCATCAAACTGTTCATAAAACTGTATTAAAAAGAAAAAAAATAGGTATTTTATCTCTCTAGTGTTATTCCAACTTATTTAGCTTTTATTTAGGAACACTATACAGCCAGGAATGCCCCCTACAAGGTAAGAAAACATACCTTACTTCCAGTCTGCTGGCGCTGGCCCCACGCCCGATCCGCCTCCTTCGCTGACCGGATTGATGATCTCAGCTAATCCAATGCTTTCACATATGAAAAGCATTGGATTGCCTGAGATCATCAAGGAGGTGGGGCGGGCCACACACCAGTTTGGCCAATTAGTATCTCCTCATAAAGATGCACTGAATCAGTGCATCTCTACGATGGGAAAGTTCAGTGTCTCCACGCTTTGCATGGAGACAATGAACTTTCCCCATAGAGATGCATTGATTCTATACATCTCTATGAGTAGATGCTGATTGGCCAAACTGGCATTTGCCCCCTTAATGAACTCGGCAAACCCAATGCTTTTCCTATGGGAAAGCATTGGATTGGTGGAGCTCATCAATTCTGATGTCAGTCAAGGATGCAGATCAAGGGCAGCACTGCCCCAGGAAGCAGCTCTAGTGGCCGTCTAAGGAGTGGCCACTGCATGTGTCCCCAGGGAGCAATGTAAACACTGCCTTTTCTCTGAAAAAGAAAAGACTGTAGGGACAGGCTATAGACACTGGAAGAACTGCATTATTTTAATGTGGGATTATACCTACTAAACAGTAGTAGTAGCTTTTTTTGTATTTGGCAGTAGGGTGTCCTTTCAAGAAGCATACAAAATATTTTCATTTCCATTAGCGTGTTGCGCATCTTTTTGTAAGACAGAGAGCAAATATACATACACAACACCATTGGGGGGGAGGGGTTTACTTCATTGAATATTGAATCAAGACCCCAAGAATATTTAACATCTGAACTGTTGTTGCAATTAAATGATAATAAAAGTAACTAAGTCACTCACTTTTTCAAATCTCTCATCCAGGAGAGTAAGTTGATCGTTTCGTTTTATGACAGAAGATGACATAGAATAGTCTGTGAATCGACTCTTGGTTTCTTCATTCATAAAGAAAAACTCTTTTGTGTTTCCAGACTCGCCACCACCTTCCTCATCGGAAACAGGGCCATCTGAGTCAAAGTTACCTTCCTGGCTATCATCATCATCCTCCTCTTCACTATCAACATCTTCCCATTCACCTTCATCTGCTTCATGTGTTCTAAAACAAAATAGAACAGAAAAGAACAGCTTTAATGAAATGGTGAAAATACTGCAAAAAATAATTAAAAAAAAAAAAAACAACATAATTCAATTTCTAATACTGGTGGTCTCAAATTACCAGTCCCCTAACTAGCTTCTTGTGTTCTACTGGGGGAGGGGCAGAACCCAGATAGTGGACAGTCTGGTGACAAACTATTGGATGGTATCAATAAATGTAGCATGGCCAAGCACTATCCTGAGGGGTAGGGCATTCCTAATAAGACTATCCAAGGATCTGCACACAACATATGTATAATATATGTAAACAGCAAGTTATACTCCAGATCCCCTTCCACGCACAAGATCCTCAGGTTGAGTCCTGCCATGCGAAAGAGCTCTCCCGTTAAGGATGCCAATTGGCTGTGCCACATTGGGTGTATTTTCCAGGTGTGATTCTGTGTGTGCCTATGGCAGTTTGAATGTATCTGTGTATGTAGAAATAGTAAAGTGCACTGTGGGATTAACCCTGCAGGCATGGTGTTAATGTTGTAGAACCACTGTTAATTTAGCATGGTGTGAGCCTGTCTGAAAATGTGCATCTATGCCTGGCAGTACATGTCTCTTTGTGTGTGTGGAAATTGAGCACTACAGATCTGCAGTCCCCATTAAAGAAACCAACTCGGTCACTGGTCTCTAGATAGATTGAGTGAGACCTCTGGTCTATACAATAGCATTATTCATGTATAATGCAGCGTATGATATATTTTCCTCATAACTTGTAAATGAAAAGTACAAATCATGCATTGCATTCTATTAAAATTCACAAAACCACCACTAGTTACTCCCCTTAATATGCCAGGATTACAGTGTGAATCCCTTTAAAGAAAACCTACTGCTATGTTATACATGGAAAAAAGCACAACTAGTGACCCAGTACAATATTTTACAATGTATTTAGCCAGTAGATAATTCACCCCTGTTTAGTCAGCCATGGATACCCAGGCTTACAGTGGTGAGTAACTTTTAAGGCCTGGCTAGTAAAGTAGAAATCAAAATGTAAGGTCTTCCTTAAATTGAAAGAAAATAGTAAATATGATAGAAGAAAATCCAGCTACAAGATAGGATGTACCTCCATGTTTCATTACTGCTGGGATCATTGGCCTGAATAATGAAGTCATCATCAATCTGATTTTCAGGATCATCAAAGTCAAAGTCATCATCCAGACCTGCCACAATATCTGGATCCAAGTCTAAACGTAGACCTACAGGCAAACAAATTGAATGGGCTGTTAAAGAGGGCATTTGCAGATTGGTAATGTTTTAGCAGCAAAACATAAATAAAGCTGTGGAGAGAAAATTAAGACCTTCCTAACACTCAAATAGCCTAAAATCTATACGATGAGGTTAATTAAAATATATAGCACATTTTTAAAATCTTTTTAGATGCCATACCCAAATTTCAGCATGATCCATTATAAACTCCAATTTTGTAAGGAGGTTATAGCAACACCCAAGTCCCCTCTCTTAAAGGGACAATGTGGGCACCCAGACCACTTTAGCTCATTGAAGTGGTCTGTGTGCTGTGTCCCTTTTGCACCTAGTGCTGCAATAATAAACATTGCAGTTCCAGAAAACTAATGTTTACATTGCACCTCTAAGTCTGCCCTCCGAGGCTGTCTACCAGAGAGCCACTGGGGCGCTTCTGGAATCGCTTCTGGACTTTTGGTCTGTTATCTGACGCTGGATGTCCACACGCTCAGCAGGAGGACCGCCAGCGTCAGATTTTCCCGATAGGAAAGCATTGATTCAATGCTTTCCTATTGGGAGGTCTAATAGACGCGCAGCATTTGCCACACATGCACATTAGACCCTGCACGTCGCAAGATTGAGGAGGGGACGGAGCTTCGACCCAGCGCCGAGGGACATCGGCGCTGGGATAAGGTAAGTAAATAAAGGGTTTTTAACTCTTTATTTACAGAGGGGGCGGGGGCGCGAGGGAGGGGGGTGGCAGAGGGATTGGTAGTGCCAGGAATACAGCTTTGTATTCCTGGCACTACAGTTTCCCTTTAAAATCAGTGACAAAACTAATCATATCCACAATTTGTCAAGTTATAGAGGGATTAGCATTTTTATCCCATGAACAAAGCAGTGTCCTCAATGCGAATGAGAATCATCTTAGTGGACAAAAGTCATCAGTTGTAATGACTTCACAGGAGAAGTATTGGGCTCCAGTGTGTCCTGGTGTTGGAATAAAAGATTAATATTGTATCAATTGTTTAATTTAAAAAAAGCAGAGGGTCCATAAATATAAATATATTATGAATGGTAGTTTTGATGGTTTTTTAACTTAATTTGCACTCCTACAAAAACCCAACAATAAAAACAAAAAACAAAAACCAATTACCTCCAACGGGGGCAGCTTTGTTCAATAACCCAATATCCTCTTCAAACTCTGATGCAAAAACGGAGGAAGGCAAATTAATAGATGGAGCCTAAGTAAGGGAAGAATAAAAGGCCAAAAGGTTAATATTTGCCAGAACAGTCCGAGATGAAAGCCTGAGAAATACAACAAAAAAGTTAATTATAGAAGCAACGCATCATTGAATATGCTGGACATTATGTGGCCAAAAGTATGTAGACATGCCTATACGAGCAAAAAAGAAATTGGGTGCACACTGGAAAGATGCATTCCTAAGCAATAATGCTGCCGTAGAGGCCAACATTTATACATAATACAGATTAAGGAACAGTGCAGAAATACAGTTTTTAATTTTTGTAAGGCTACCTAAAATCATATATCTCTGCAAACAAATATGGGGATTCAGTTCCACCATATGGCCATATTGTGTTAAGCCCACCACTATATCACAGTACCCCAATATCTGTGGGTACTAGACAAATTAAATAGAGCTAGTGCTAAAGAGTATTTTAATAATCTTGTGTAAGAGCACTGTAAATATATATAATGCAAAATTAATGTAATCAACACAATTTTGAAAAAAATGCCGTTTCAAAACTAAACAATTAAAGTAATAGTGATTTGAGGTATGTACTCACAATGCATATCATATATCTGCTCAATCAAAATTATAGTCAGTTTCATAACTATCCCAAACCTCCTCAAATATACACGTGGTCACCTCCAAATGGGCCTCTGAGGTGCTCAACCCAAAAGGAATCTTGTCTGGATTCCAAACCTACAGAGTAAAGATAAAAAGGGAAGGTCGCCAATTCCCTTTTTGTCTTTACAATGCAAGTTTGGAGTCCAGACCAGATTCTTTGTTACTTGTAGAATTATGATGACTCTTAACTGGGACTAAGGGGACCGCCCAAACGCTGAAAAATGATGGCCAGGGATGATTCCTCAAACACGTAAAACACTTTCCTAGACTGTGTGCGTGTGGAAGTGGTTTACCCTTAAAGGTCTGTGGCTTAGGTGAATGGTAGCGGGTAGACGGCTGCTGGGAGGCTGATGTGGGATTAGCTGACCAGGTGCACATGCCGGTTGAGGAGTAGTTAGCTGGTTGGGTGCCCATGTGGTCTTGTGAGAGCCACCAATTGCGCTGTTCCAGGCTCGCCCATAATCTGCACATAGTTTGTCTAAGGACTTCAGAACGGTGGCTAGCGGTTAAGGTGGTCGCTGCATTGAGGGAACAGCCACCATGTTATGCACAGGCTTCAAGGCTTATGCACTGGTGGGGAATTCAATTCTCCAGACTCCTAGACATTTTAACTTCACAATAAACAGCTGACCGGGGCAGATCTAGTAAGGTAGAAATTACTCAAACTAACTAATGGCAAAGGTGGTATATTCATTCAGAGTGCAATGTTTAAAGTCAGATCTTCAGTACGACCAATTATACTTTCAATATTTATTCAAGGAGATTGTGTGGTTAGGTGCTTCTGTTGGCGATGGCTGGGATTAAAACACATGAACTCAATAAATATGAGGTATATCCACACACCTTAGGCCATATAGTGTACATTCATCTGCCTCTATTATTTATGCATACTTTAAATAAAATACCCACAACTTGACAATAATAAAACACACATATCATGTACAAGTAATTAAATAGATGAGCCTGAAAATCCTGTTGTAAAATAAACCATAATTTGATATGTTTATCTATTATGGTGACTGGCAGCAAATGAATGCCATTCAAAGATGGAAATAATTCCAATAGAATGGAATTAGTTGACTCACATAGTGCTTCTCATCTTTGTTTCCTCCACAAATAAAAACATTTGGGAGACAGGCCTGTCACTCCAACACAACAAGACTTTATGGGGAAAATGCAGCAATTTTACATATATTTTTACTTATTTATACTATTAGATTTAGCAAAACCATGCATTTAGTATCCTTTAGGTTAGATGTGTCTCAGATGCATAAAGTCTTCCTTTAAACAGAAATAAAAAATAAAAAAACGTGATCTTACTGGAATATGTTCTACTTCAGCCTCTTCTTCTCCATCTTCGGTCACAATGATTTGCCTCTGTGACTGTCCCACATCAGAGGGCACCAGCTCTCCTGGACCAACCTCTTTCAAGTGTTGCAAGTAATTGTAGTCATCATCAAAGAAAACACCAAAGTTTCGCTGTTCCTCTTTCCTCTTATCCAATTCCACCTGGGGGAGAGAGAGATTTTGGATTGGCGTTTTAATGTCAAATCTGATAAAAGGTGTAATAAATAATTATGTATTTCTTAAACAATCTATAAAAAAAAATGCTAACAAACCATTTGATGGGTTTATATTTATTAAAGGACCACTATAGTGCCAGGAAAACAAACTACCCTCAGGGCCCCCTTCCTTCAATTACAGACTTCCCAATACAGTTCAATGAGAAGTCTTTGCAGTACAGGTGCTCTGAGCAACTGCTGCCTCTTGAGTTTAGTTCCACTGAGCTATAAAACAAAAAACAGGAAGTAACATTACCTGTCATCTGATTGACAGCCAGGGGGTGTTACAAGGTTAATTCATAATGTGCCAAGCCAATTCTATTGAAATCTGCCCTTTTTGTAGGATGAAAAGAAAAGAGGACACACTTTTCACACATAAAGCACTTCAGCTTCTGAAGGCTTACAGAGTGGTATATAACATCATAGCAATCAATGCAGTAATAAAGCTATAAAGTAACCTTGTCAGCAGGCAGTAGGACTCTCTGAGGAGCAGTTTCATCAGCGGCTAATGGATCCCGCTGACTTCTGTGTACTAGATGAAAAGTAACTGCTTTCTTCTTTTCTATGAAGGGCTTCTTCTTTCTATGAGGCTGTAACAAAAATTGGACATTAAAATGTTATGAAATGCTTTGCACAAAATGGTTTATAATTTAAATTTAAAAAAAATGCATGTATTTTTAACACAATCGTTTTGAGTGCAACCATACATATAGCAATTTGTAACTTAGCAATGATTTCCTATACTAATACACATGACTGTGAAAACACTTTATAAATCCTGTTTTATTTAAAATTCTAAGTATGTGAACAGAGATGAGATGGAACTATAATTAGTGCAAACAGTAAATACACTGGAATGGTAAGGAAGGGATATAATATTGAGATGAGAAACATTGTAACTAGCATAGAGAAGGAACAATGCAGTAGATATTGGATGATAATGCAATAGACAAACAGACAAAAGTACCTTTATGTATCTTAAAATATTTATAGCATTTTTTTAAATTTTTTTTTACTCCCAGAGCTTTGACTGCAGTTCACATTGAACATCACGTGCGTTCAAATGGTGTTTTGTGATGCATGGTGGTGGTGGTGGTGGTGGTGAGGGGAGCAGCAGAGGATGTGTACGTTATTCAAAAGCAAGGAGATTTATTCAAGAGACAACTTTTCTTTTGCATCTGAGATTCCATATAGAAAAAAGTATAAAAACAAAAAAACTGCACAGCAATAAAACATTCCAGACAAGCTTTAGAAGCTAATATCTGAAGCAGCCAGGTCAACTGCATACCAGATGGTACAATTTAGGGACACAAAATTAATCCTAATCCTAAAGCACAAAGACTTCTTCAATCATGCTGGGTAAAGCCACTTCAGTACCTCTCACAGTCTTATCACCACACAGAAAAACATACCCATTTCAGCACACCAATTGGAATTGTGGACACTGGTTGGTCATTTGTTTAAGAATGTATTGTCTGGCAGAATGTGGAATTCATATGCTACCGGTGTGAAATTAATTTTAAACGATTAAAGGACCACTCTAGGCACCCAGACCACTTCAGCTTAATGAAGTGGTCTGTGTGCCAGGTCCAGCTAGGGTTAACCCATTTTTTTTATAAACATAGCAGTTTCAGAGAAACTGCTATGTTTATCAATGGGTTAAGCCTTCCCCCATTCCCTCTAGCGGCTGTCTCATTGACAGCCGCTAGAGGCGCTTGCGTGCTTCTCACTGTGATTTTCACAGTGAGAGCACGCAAGCGTCCATAGGAAAGCATTGATAATGCTTTCCTATGTGACCGGCTGAATGCGGGTGCAGCTCTTGCTGCGCGTGTGCATTCAGCCGACGGGGAGGAGAGAAGGAGGATCGGAGGAGGAGCGCTCCCCACCCAGCGCTGGAAAAATGTAAGTTTTACCCCTTTTCCCCTTTCCAGAGCCGGGCGGGAGGGGGTCCCTGAGGGTGGGGGCACCCTCAGGGCACTATAGTGCCAGGAAAACTAATATGTTTTCCTGGCACTATAGTGGTCCTTTAATTAAAATGGTGGTTGAAGTTATTTAAAACTCTATAAGGTTTCGTAATCACACATGTGACCTTTTGCTAAAAAGCATAAATTTGAGTGACTGGTAACTTTTCATATTTCAGCTGCTCACTATTAAATTAAAGACTGCTCAGTCATCAAAATATTAGCTACTACTAACTTATTTTAACAATGAACTGATGAGTGCTCATGCATCTGCGAGAACTATGGTACAAGCACATGTGCCTAATGCACCTACAGAAAACTCAACCAACTAATAATTTAAAGGGTTACTCTAGCGAGAAAATTTACTTTCTCTTAGCATACTTTATAACTCATATTGAGCTTATCAAGGTGCCTCCTCACTTCATATTTTCTGCCCCAAATATTTCTTAAAATACCATAAAAATAAAAAATAGCAATAGCCTTATGGAGGTAGTTAGAAAACACAACCGTACGTATACATCCCTATAAGCTTCTACTTGCAGGTGTACTGACAGCACTGCCTGCAAGTGAAAAAGCTCATTACATCCATAGTCAGCCTGTAGTGTGTGCTGACAACAGACAGAACTAATTGCACAGGATTATAGCGGCACTATCACCTCCCTTGCCTCCTCTTTAAAAACTAGTGTTTCATAAAAATCGCATTTTTATGAAATACTCATTGTGGCGAAAGTAACCTTGACACTAGTTCTTGCAGGGGCCTGTTTGCCAGCCTCTTGCCTCAGGACTATGGGCCATGCAAAAAGGCTCATAAAAGACCCTGGTCATGCCTTTTTGCTATTCTGTTTGATAGATTGCATTCCCCTCCTATTTTCACATTGTCCTGTTCGACTACCGAACAACTGCACGAACCAGGGGCCACCCAGGAGCTTGTTAACACGTATTAACACTTTGAAGCGGTTCTCACCGCAGTGTTCTACTAGTTTGTCTGGGTGGCAGCAATTCCTATGGACAACCACGAGGTGGCGGCCATCTTGTTCGCATGAACTCAGGCAGCGGTGTTTGAGCATGAATCTCATGGAGCTAAATATCGGACACAGAAACTGATGGACTTCCATCATCGCCTGCGTTCGGTTCTATACAAGTTAAAAGGGCACTGTTCGGTGGAATTGTTTGTCTGGATGAGGGGAACAAGCTCCAGGGTAAGAACACTGCCTATGTTCAGTAGTTTATTCGTTTTTAATCTACCAAATTAGAGGGACCGCAAGCCCTGATTCTCTGGAACTATTTTGGGCATGGGACCATGCATGCGGTCGGTCAAATAAATGACTTCCAGGAAATTCCTGAACCCCTGAACTGATCTGGGTGATTCTTGGATACGTTAGTCACCCAAATCAGGGCTATCAGGGGATGTGACATTTGTAGGCGTTTTGTATGTTTTAAAGGTATTTTCGGGGTTTTATAAAAATGTGTGTTTTGTGTTTGGAGATAATTGAGTTTAGTATAGTGCTTGACTCAATTATCTCCCAGAGGAGGGATTAATCTATTATGTATGGGAGTGTCCAGGTTGTGTAATTGTTTATACTGTGGTTCACTCTCAGGTGCAGGGGGGAGTGCCCCTTTCATGGGGACATGCACATAAGGCCAGTTCCATTAAACAAGTTCCGCCTTACCCTCAACATAGAGCCTCGTCTCGTGTGGGGGAAACGGCTGTATCTACCCTGGGGATTGCTATATCACAATACTCCCCTGGGTTATAATCACTAGCTCTATTAAGAGCTGTTCCTGCTATAGTCTCTGGAGTAGGAGAGGTTCCCCCACTAGAAGCTGTAACACTGGAAGCAGGGACTACGGTGCTGATGGTGTCTGGCGGAGAGCTTGGGTCCTCAGCGAGCACTAGGAGCGTCGACTGGTGGAGGCATCCAGTTGGGGTGCCAGGCGGTCCGTCACACTCATTAACACTGTTCCAATTTAACTGAAATTCTGACCTAGTCAAGAAATATACAGAGACAAAGTAATGACTACTTTGTCTCTGTATTTCTCCTCCACCTGATTATCATTGACTCGAGGTCGGATGATCAGTGACAGCTGCAGGGAATTGGCTGTGTCTGTGTGTGATCTCCCATAGACATCTATACTGTATGAGTACAGCAGAGACGTCTGCACCAAAGAGGACTCTGCCAGATCAAGATGGAGGTGCCCACAAGGGACAGGTTCCGGTAAGTAAGCTCTTTTGAGCAGGGTCCTCTTCAACCTATCGTTCCTGTAAGTTTTCTTGTAATTGTCCTATTTATAGTTAAATCCCTCCTCTTATAATATTGTAAAGCGCTACGGAATCTGTTGGCGCTATATAAATGGCAATAATAATAAATTCACCTTTACCTGCCCCACCCCTCCACCCCTTAACATTAGGCAGTCTGATGGAGTGGTCTGGGCTGTCTGTCATGGGTGCTAGTTTCAACTAGTCCCCAGCACAAAAGTGTAGATGTATCTGCATAGGCAGTGTTTCAAGCTGAAACACTAAACAAACAGATTGCTTGCTCTATGGTCACAACTAAACGCAAAAGTTGTCATGAGGGTTGGAAGAAGCCCTTAAATAGTGTCAGCCTCTTCTGAAACCAAACGATCATGACCAGAGCTTTTGTTAAAGGACCACTATAGTGCCAGGAAAACACTTGTTTTCCTGGCACTATAGTGCCCTGAGGGTGCCCCCACGCTCTGGGTCCCCTTCCTGCCCGGCTCTGGGGAGAGGAAAGGGGTTAAACTCTCCTCCTCTCCGCCCCTTCGGCTGGCTGCGCGCGCTTTGAGCCGGTCTCATAGGAAAACATTTACAATGCTTTCCTATGGACGCTTGCGTGCTCTCACTGTGATTTTCACAGTGAGAATCACGCAAACGCCTCTAGCGGCTGTCAGTGAGACAACCACTAGAGGAAATGGAGGCTGGATTAACCCTATTATAAACATAGCAGTTTCTCTGAAACTGCTATGTTTATAAAAAAAATGGGTTAACCCCAGAGGGACCTGGCACCCAGACCACTTCATTAAGCTGAAGTGGTCTGGGTGCCTAGAGTAGTCCTTTAACTTCACTGAACTGATTCAGCTGAGTGTTACCAGTCAAGCACATCCCTGGAGAGGACTATCAGTGTCATAAAAGAATGTGAAAGTGCTGCAGGGGCAAAATCAAAGTGATTTCTGGCCTGGTGAGTGCTGCTCAAGTATGGATCACTTAAATCGCAGTGCGTGGAGTGAATGTTGAAGAAGATTATTATTATTATTATTATTTATATAGTGCCAGCTTATTCTGCAGCGCTTTACAATAAAGAAGCCAGTTTTCCATGAATTTGCCTGGAAGCCCCAGGTTGTGCCCACACTACTCTAGAATGATAAGAATAGAAATAAAATTTTTAAAAAATCATGACTGAGATAAAACAAAGTACAACCAACTGCTAGATTTCAGGTATTGTGATTTGCATAAAAACCAAACAAAAAAAACCGTGACATTTATACTTTAAATCCATGAAGCAGAGTTGGTCATCTTACAAATAATACCCATAATGTGGTTAATCTTACCATGGTGCTCTGGGAATGGACAAATCACAGAAGAGATGACAGTCAGAACACAACCTAAAATTCTGGAATTTCTGTAAACAGAACCTCATGCATACTTTACTCCACGCTGTGTGCTGCAGCCATGCTGGATCAAACCACTAACACCGGGGGTGAGCTATCGCCACCTGTTAGGGACACGTATTACACACTCACACCTTCATAATAAAAAAAAAAAAAGGGGCCAGTTATTATAAATAGATTTATGGTAACAGTAATTCTAACTCAACCGGCGATATTACAAAAAAATAATAAATGTATCACTCCCCTCAGTTAAAGTTATGGTTGACTCCAAATAATGGAAGAGAGAAGCCATAAACGCTAGAGACAATGCTATCTCAAATGGAGTGTCTCCAGCGGCTGAGTTTCAAGTAAAATGGAGATCGGCCATCTTTGGGTAGAGCGTATGCTTTGACGTCTCCACCAATATGTCTCCGCTACTCAGAGCGCAACATTCCAGCTAATGTCGAACTCTTTTGATTTGAACACTAAATAGCTTGACGATTTACGCCAGCGTGGTGACGTTAAAGCACACGTTATCGGTGTTTCCGGCCGTGCTGATTTACAAAGTGTTATTAAGCGCTCAGTATCCGCAGAGTCCGGTATAACGTGTGAGGTCCTGGATAGAGCCAGAGCCGGCCGAGGCAGAGTGCTCAGGATATCCAGCCATTCAGTTTATTTTGAATACATTGACATGTGATCGAGAAAAAGAAAGCCTTGTTATTTGAAGAGACGTTACTGCAAGTGATAAGACATTGTTAGTGTTTCATGTATTCTGCGTTCTTTCCCGGGTTTATTGTTTGGTGTCTCTGAAACTGGAATACCAGAGCTGAGTCCCACAAAGCACAGTGAGTGCATCACTAATCTTCACTGAGGACATTCAGCTCACCCACAGAACTCTTTAACCCCTTGAGGACACATGACGTGTGACAAGTCATGATTCCCTTTTATTCCAGAAGTTTGGTCCTTAAGGGTTAACAAACCAGCATGGTACAAAATAAGAGAGGTCTTCCAAGGTGTGACCTTATGTTCCACACATTTAGAAAATCAACTCAAAGTTGTACATAGATGGTACCTACCAGGCTTAAACAAATGTCACGACTATTGGTGGCCGATAAAGATGTATGTTGGTGAGGTGTGCTCTTAATAGCTTAGATTGGTAATCAAGAATTGCAAATTCAACATTACCAACATATCTAGAGGAGTGTTTTTGACAAATATAATAAGACACTGGTAGATCCTTTGCATGAAAAACACTAAGCTGAATTGTAGTGGTTATGGTGCTTAGAGTGCTTCTCTACTGTCCATAATATTACATAAGCATAGGCGTGCGCACAGGGTGTGCCGGGTGGGCCTGGACACACCCTAATCCCCGCGGCACGCCTATGGAGTGAGACCGGCAGGGGAGATCTCAGGATCTCCCCTGTCAGCTCATGCAGAGCCGGCACTATCCGAGCGCCGGCTCTGCTCTCAGCCTCCTTCCCCACGACTCACATGCAGGGAGGGAAGCAGGAGAGGACCCGGGGAGCTATTGCCGGCAGCTCCGCCGGGTTCCTCTCGCGAGATCTGAGCGTTTCTGATCTCGCGAGAGTGAACTCTAGCCCCGCAGGCTAGAGTTCACTCACCACTGGACCACCAGGGATGGCAGAAAGGATCCCCCCTCCCTACATAAGGTGAGAAGGGAGGGGGGATATTAAGTAATGTACCCACACACATACAGCACCCACAGACATACACAGCACCCACAGACATACACAGCTCCTACACACATACAGCACCCACACACATACACAGCACCAACACACATACAGCACCCACAGACATACACAGCACCTACACACATAAAGCACCCACAGACATACACAGCACCCACACACATACACAGCACCCACACACATACACAGCACCTACACACATAAAGCACCTACACACATACAGCACCCACAGACATATACAGCACCCACAGACATACACAGCACCTACACACATACAGCACCCACAGACATACACAGCACCTACACACATACAGCACCCTCACAAACACACACAAACAGCACCTTCACACACACCCAGCACACTAACAGTACCCTCACAAACTGGACCCTAACAAACACACAGCACACTACCAGTACCCTCACACACAGTACATTAACAGCACCCTCACAAGCGCTCACACAAAACACCCTCACCCACATAGCACACACATCACACTAACAGCACCCTCACACAGCAGTGTATGTGTGTGTGTATATATGTGTATCCATATATATACATACATATATACATACATATATATACGCGGAGTGTGCTTGTGCTTTAGAGTGCACCCCCTAATGCAATAGGCTGTGTATGCCTATGTACATAAGGCTAGTTTTACACATTAGATGCCTGAAAGTACAACATTATCAGATGCTTCTACTTCCATATGTGCCAGCAGTCCCAATGTTGCTGGGATAGTCCCTCATTTTGGGGTCTAGTTGCGCAAAAATTTTACCCAGAGACCTTTCTCGCATTTCCAGCAATTCAGTCTGCCGATTTCAGGATGCGGAAAATTGTATCTATGTTTACCAACTCAATTACACTGCAATTGACACACCACCGTTCACTGTTTACCATATAAATCATTTATTATCAAATACATATATATCTTATATCCATGGTAATTAACAAATACTTGTTTGACAGTTCTTTTTAAGGCGAATTGAGTATATATCTGTATAAAGCAAATACACAGGAAACGACTGTCAATAAATATCTTTAGGTGTTTTAGTCACCGATGACAGCAGCTCAATATTCTTATCCACAGATGGATTCAGATTCAACAAGGTCCCAGGCAAGCTACCGATGTGAGTCCTCTCTTTATCTTCACACAGGGATAGGGAATGGATCCACACAGATTCCCGTGCTTATTCCATGGGCCCTAGGTGTTTGCCTAAGGTCACCTTCTTGTTAATCCTGCTCTGTTCTTCTATATTCTTGTCATGCATGCATCTTGTGTGGTCTGTATTGTTCAGCAGTGAAGCATAAGAATGATTTTCTGCCTGATGAAATGAGCTTATACCTAATTAGCAATACCAATGCTTGCAACTAGCACCCTTTGCTATGATTTCACTAAAAGATTATTAGGCTTGTCTGATGTGTTCAACATCCTCATTAGTGTCAAGGAAGGATTGTCCAAAAATTCTTATTTTTAACATAAAGCATGAATCTCTATAATAAAACAACCAGCATTTTTTAGGAGTTTTGTTCTAGAAAATCAATAGTGCAGGAGAGATGTACAGTTAGGTCTGGAAATATTTGGACACTGACACAAATTTCATATTTTTGGCTCTGTACAAAGGATTTGAAATGAAACAACTGAGATGCGATTGAAATACTTTCAGCTTTAATTGAAGGGGTTGAACAAAAATATTGCATGACACATTTAAAATTTGCAACAATTTTCACATACAGCCACCTTATTTCATGGGCTCAAATGTAATTGAGCAAATGAACACAATCATAAATAAAATGTTAATTTTTAATACTTTGTCGAGAACCCTTTACAGGCAATAACTGCTTGAAGTCTGTAAAAATGGACATCACCAAACATTGGGTTTCCTCCTCTGTGATGCTTTACTGCGGCTGTCTTCAGTTGTTGTTTGTTCATTGGTCTATCTGCTTTAAGTTTTGTCTTCAGCAAGTGAAATGCATACTTGGATCAGGTTGACATCAGGTGATTGACTCGACCATTGCAGAATATTCCACTTCTTTGCCTTAAAAAACTCTTGGGTTGCTTTCCATCTGTAATGTGAAGCGCCATCCAATCAACTTCTCAAAATTTGTCTGAATCTTAGCAGATAGCCCCTATACATTTCAGAATTCATCTGGCTGCTTCTGTCACATCATCAGTAAACACTAGTTAACCAGCAGAGGCGGCTGTAGACTTTATGAGGCCTTAGGCAAAACTCAAACATGAGGCATCACTAAGAAAAAAGTGTCACATTGATGCACAGTTTACCTGTATGTGCTTGAGAGTCAGTGGTGTATCCTGGTTTTGTGCTGCCCTAGGCAGGACAAAACTCAGGCACCCCCCTTCCACTCCCCACGCGCCGCCCCCACCCAACCCTTCCCCCCCACCCTGTTTTCTAAATACACACACATTCACTGACAGATACGCATACACTAGCTAACAGAAACACACTTGCTAACAGAAAAACACTCACACACACACTAACAGACACACACTCACTAACAGACACTCACACAGTCAGACACACACTCACTAACACACACACACTAACAGGCAAACACACTAACAGACACACGCACTAACAGACACACGCTAACAGACATACACACACACTCACATTAACACATTTTTTTTTATTTAACCCAGCCTCCTTACCTTTGGGAATGCTGGGGGGGGGTCTCTTTCTCCCTGGGGGTCCAGTGGCTGCTGGCGGTCGGGGGGCACTGGCGGGCAGCTGGCGAGGGAGCACTTCCTCTGAGCTGTTTGCTCAGCTCCCTCGCGCGCTGCCGTCATATTCCGGCTCCCAAACTCACTCTGCGGCACGCGAGGGAGCTGAGCAGACAGCTCCCTCGCCATCCGCCAGCGCCCCCCGACCGCCCCCGCAGCAGCCAGCCCGGCCATCAGACACATGTGTCTGTTAGTTAGCCGCAAGGCTAACAAGACATTTGTCCTGGGTATTTGGGGGCGTTTTTTTTTTTTGCAGCCACCTGGAAAATGCCGCCCAAGGCAAATGCCTTGTTTGCCTCGCGGCTAAAACGTCCCTGCTGAGAGTGTGTCTTACAGAGAGTATCCTTGTGTGTAAATGTATGTCTCTGTGAGCATGTTTGCGTTTTTGTCTGAGACTCTATGTGTATGGGGTAGCTGCTTGACGTGTGTATGGGGGGTGGTGATGGTGAGAGGGAGAGGCGGGTGATGGTGAGTAGGGGGCGATGGTGTGAGGGGTGATGGTGAGAGTGAGGGAGGGGGGATAATGTGAGAGGGAGGGGGGTGATGCTGAGGGTGGTGGGGAGGGTGGGATGCTGAGGGTGGTGAGGGGTGATGCTGAGGGTGGTGGGGGGTGGTGAGGCTGAGGGTGAAGGGGGTGGTGAGGCTGAGGGGGTGGGAGGCTGAGGGTGGTGAGGTGGGGTGGTGAGGCTGAAGGGGGTGGTGAGGCTGAGGGTGGTGGTGAGGCTGAAGTGGGGTGGTGAGGGTGGGGGTGGTGAGGCTGAGGTGAAGGGGAGGGTGAAGGGGGTCGAAGCCTGGGGTGAAGGGGGCTGTGGTGAGGCTGAGGGTGGTGGGGGGTGGTGAGGTTTAAGGCTGAGGGTGGTGGGGGTGGTGAGGGTGAAGGTGAAGGGGGGGGTGAGAGAGCTTACCTTACCTCCCTGGTGGTCCGGTGGTCATTGCTTCCGGTCTGCAGCTCCGCAGAGCTGCACACTATGTAATCTTGCGAGATGTCAGAGCGTATCCGTGGTAACCCACGGCAACGCTCTGATTGGCCAGGTCTCGCGAGACACATGGTCTGCAGCTCTGCACACTGCGGAGCTGCAGACCTGTGTCTGCGATGGTGGCCGGGCAGCCAGGAGGGGCCTCGCAGCCGGCGGCATACCCGGCAAGCCGCCGGGCCCCCTACTGGTGTCAGGTCCTCGGTCACTGACCGAGGGCCTGACACAGACTGCCCACAGGCGGTTTAGGCGGCCGCGAGGCCCCAGCCAGTGCGAGGACTTAGGCGGCCGCCTAAACCGCCTAATTAGAGAGCCGCCTCTGGATTCAGGTGCATTATATACCAAAAAAGATGCCCTAAATGGTATAACCTGTAATTTTACTATCTCCGAGAATCTAAAATAGTAGTGTGGATCTTAGAGAGAGTGTGATGATACATGGTGATTTAGAAAAATAAATATACAGGAATTAAACCCCAAGAAAGAACAATATAAGTCAACTTAGGCTCTAATAAGAAGCCAGCATCTTTTGGGACAAAGAAGATACATAGATTCTTTCACCTATTAAGGAATTAAATTTACTAAGTAATTCCTGTTTACTCAGCGGGAGCCTTACTATAAAATGTCTAACAAGAAAGGTACACAAGAAACGAAACAGTTACATTTAAGGAAAGATAAGAAACAAGAACAGAAACCTGAAAAAGGACTTTCGAACTTCTTTACAGCGATGGATCCCAAGGTAGTTAAAGAGACATCCTTAATGGAAGAGAATAGTAATCAGGTACAAGGTGGAGACAACCTTGACTTAAATGCCCATAATATAAAAGATAATAAGGATCAAAAAAAACATCACTCCTTAAAATCTTTAAGAATGTTTCGATATGCACTTTATCAAAATGAAAAAGGTAATGGAGTCGAGTACGGAACATCTCAGAGCTAAGATACTGAATTTGGGCACAAAACTAAAACAAACAGAAGAAAAAGTAGAAAGGTTGGAGAATCAGATATCTGGTCAAAAAGATATAAATGCATAATTTAAAGAAAAAATTAAAAGCATTGAACAAAAAAACTACAAGACTTGGAGGACAGATCCAGAAGATCGAATCTTAGAATAAGAGGTATCCCAGAATCTATATTGAACAATCAATTGAACCAATATATGGAAGAATTTCTTAAAGCGCTGAATATTCCTAACATCAATCCATCTGAGCTGTTTGAGAGACTACACAGATTACAGAACCCTTCAAACACACTAACACATTTACCTAGGGATGTCATAGTCTGTTGTCATTCATACAGAACAAAACAACAAATCAACTCAGCTCTAAAAAAAAAAAAAAATGGAACAAAAGGCACAGTATATGAATCAATAAAAGTTTTCTCATATTTCTCTTTTCAAACAAGACAGCAAAGAAGAGAATTTGCTCTGCTGGCAAAAGTCTCAAGAGACAATGATATAAAATACACATGGGGGTTTTCACAAGACTACAATGTAGCAAAGATGGAAAAAGAGAGAGTTTCGATTCTCCCACAAAGTGAAAAAAAAATGGATCCAAGAACAGAATATTAAGTGACATCCCCAATAAGGGAAGAATTTGTATTTTATTGCAGCAAGAAGAATTATAACATTTTTTTTCTTAATAAAAATATGTCAAGTACACAATTTTCAAAATATTAATTATAAATAGAGTAAGAGTAACACCTACTTATAGGTATATAAAGGATAGGAATTATATGAGTGAAAAGGAAAATTGTTCACCTATGACAGGGATAATTTAAAGATGCAGGCACCACAAATGTGTAAATCACAGAAACTGGCGTGGGGGAAATTCACTTTAAATATAGAGGTTAAAATTGTATTAAATTCATAAATTTATATATACTCATTATGATGTAGTTAAGGACTGAATTAGACACACAATTATATTCTTAGCTCACAGGGAGGAACGGTTTACATGATTATCACAAAATGAAATAGATAATGAAATGATGTATAAAGAGGTTTAATGTACAGGATTAGCACAATAGTTTTGTTTTACCATTTAAGAATTGATACAGCTATAGTAGGATATTTGGGTAGAAATGCTGTTAAACGAAATTAATATGCAAATAATACTTCAGTTTTTTTTGTTTTTGTTTTTTTTTTCTTCTCTCTCTCACAAAATTACAATAAGTTAATAGATAGTGAAAACATAGGGAAAAAAACATTATAGGAGGAGACGTTCATAAAGGTGTTGTGGATCAGGGAATAATTGTTCACACGAATATCACAGAATGAAACAGATATTGAATTGTTGTGAATAGATGTTTAATGTTTATGATTATCACAGGAGGTATACACTTTAAGAAAAGATAAATATAGATATAGTAAGAGATTTGTGTAAATACCCTGTTAAATTAATATGTAAACAATATTTTTATTTTTATTTTTATTTTTAGGGGGGTGGGAGGGGAGAGTGGTAGAAGATACCAGATTTGGATTTCTTCCTCTCTCCCTCTTTCCTTTTCCAAACCCTTTTTCTTGCTACATTGAGATGAATATATATGCAAAGGATTGGCTTCTGCTCCAGCCATCGAGTGCCGTGACCACGCACTCAATCGAATAAGGTCAATATGACCAATGTTCAATGTGATGGAAGTACAGGGTTGGGTTACTTTCATTGTAATTACGAATGTAAGAGTGTAGAATATATTTTTCTCCAGTTTAGTGAAGGAAGTTTTTATTTTATAGGTTTTGCATCCCTGGGAGACAATAGGATTGTAACAATAAGTAAACAAGGTCTTATAGGATTCGGATAGTTTTGTTTAATGCGCGGGCGATTAATTCTCCAACAAGAAGATCAATAATATTACATTTCCTGAAGAAGGAAAATATAAACATCTGTACAATTCAAGAAACCCATTGGAGACTGAATGATAAAATCTTGCTAAGATCAAAAAAAATTCCCAAATATAATAAGTGCCTCATTGGGAGATAAGAAGAAAAGAGGGGTAGCTTTGTTATTTTCAAACAATATTGCATTGGATATAAAATACAGAGAACTAGATAAGGAAGGAAGTTACATAATATTAATATGTGAGATAAATAAAATAACATTTACTATTGTAAATCTATATGCTCTGAATAAATCTCCTGAAAAATATATAGCCAAACTGCTAAAAAGAGTTGACACTTTAAAACAAGGGACTCTGTTAGTAATGGGAGATTTTAATTGTGTCCCAGACCTTGAAGAGGACAGATGTACAGTAGAGGGAAGAAATAACAAGATAAAAAATAATAAAGATATGTCAACTAGATTACAATCATTAATGAAACAATATTCAATATATGATATTTGGAGAATTCTGAACCCCACAACGAAAGACAATGTCAAAATCACATCTAACCAACTGAAGAATTTATCTAATTATGGGAGATTTACATTTAGTACAACATGATAATATAGAGAAAAGGGTGAAGGTAATTAGCGCTCACAGAAAAGAAAGAAACGTTACCTTGTACTTATAGAGATGAATAGGGCTTCTAATAGCCTGATAACCTACAAATGGATACATATAACAAACATAGTGTAATCTGCATATACAAAAATAATAGAAAAAGGAGATGTATACATTAAACTCACAATTTCCAGAGCCTTTTTTTTAAAAGTTGGCTCTAAACTTTGTCGAGCATATCGTCTCTTTTGAGACACAAAAGTAATCCTCAGGAACTTGGAGCTAATGATGTAGCAAAACGATCCTCAGGAGCTTCTAACTGGTAATATAGTAGCAAACTCCAGCAGAGATATTTAAGAAGATTATTAAATTTATTTCACCAAATAAAAGTATATAAAATACATAAGTAATTGCACTACTATATTACCAGTTAGAAGCTCCTGAGGATCGTTTTGCTACATCATTAGCTCCAAGTTCCTGAGGATTACTTTTGTGTCTCAAAAGAGACGATATGCTCGACAAAGTTTAGAGCCAACTTTTAAAAAAAAGGCTCTGGAAATTGTGAGTTTAATGTATACATCTCCTTTTTCTATTATTTTTGTATATGCAGATTACACTATGTTTGTTATATGTATCCATTTGTAGGTTATCAGGCTATTAGAAGCCCTATTCATCTCTATAAGTACAAGGTAACGTTTCTTTCTTTTCTGTGAGCGCTAATTACCTTCACCCTTTTCTCTATATTATCACGTTTTAAGTGTAATAGGTGACACTACACTTGGGTAATTTTTGGCTGCACCAGATTATAAGAATTTTAAGCGCCGTGGTCCTTTCTTGTTCTTTGTTTATATTTAGTACAACATACCAACAAAATAGTGATCAAAGAAGTTATCTGGTCAGATCATTGTCCATTAATCTTAGTCATCAAAAATATGTTTAAGAAGAAAAGATGAGAATGGAGGTTAAACGACTACTTATTAAGTAATCCAGATTATCTAGAAAGAAAGAGACAGAGTGGTATTTTCAGGATAACAAGGACTCAAGTGATCCCACGATGATCTGGTGTGCCTATAAATGAACCATTAGAGGTCAACTTATTAATCTATACGCCAGAGAGAAACAAAAGAATAAGGGTAAAGAGTTATTTAACATATATATAAAGCAAAATAAATTGAGGCCATCAATAGAAACGACTGAAAAGATTAGTGTAATTGAAAAATAAATCAATAACCATTGATTAGAAATAGAGCATTAGAAATACTGAAGTGTAAATGGTACTATAAAGGTAAAAAGGTTAACGAACTAACCACAAAAAGGTTGAAAAATGAAAAGGCTGACAGGCTAATAACTAAAATACAAAAAAAGGGAGAAGTAATACAATGCCCAGATAAAATCGGGGAAGGCATTCGCTAATTACTATAGAAATCTATATCACTTACCGGCAAAAACCTATAACCCAGCAGTAAAAGATTATTTTAATAATTGTCAATTACCAAAAATCAGTGAGACCCAAAGAGAAAAACAGGATGCAGAGACTAACTGCAACAGGAACAAAGAAACAATGATCTCACAAGGGACCTATAAAGGGGCCTAACAAGGGACAGCTGACGTGCTTAATGTTCCTAAAAATAGGGAATAGCACCTAACGAGGAAAATGGTGATCAATGGTACTGCACAAGGGGATATCACCTAAGGAGTGAACCGGGAACTGTGACAATACGTAAATCCATCAACCAGAGTTAAATGATCTAATTTCTTTTCAGAAAGTTTCCAAATAAAAAACAGGACATGGCAAGGGTGTCCACTTTCACCTCTACTGTATATCCTTGCATTAGAACCGCTAGCAATTAATATACGAAGGAATCAACATATTAAATGTTTTCATACCGTTAACAGTGAAAGCAAACTGAATTTATATGCAGATGATCTATTAATAACTTTAATATTCATTGGAAGCATTCATTTTAGATATAGATGTTTATGCCAAGTATTCAGGTTACAAAATTAATTTAGATAAGTCAGTATTTTTAACCAAAAACCTTCAAACAAAAGAAGTGGAAGTATATACGAAAATATGGTCTGACCTGGGCTCAAGATGTTAAATATTCTTCTTTAAATTCTCATCTCGAAAACAATTTTCGCCTTTTAATACAACAATCGAATGAAAAACTAATTAGCTGGAGAAAGCTAAACTTTTCATGATGGGGAAGGATAAATCTAGTACGTGCTTACATATTACGAAGCTGGAACTATTTCTTCATGTTAATTCCTTTAAAATGTTCGGAACATTGGCTCAAAATAATTAATCCCCTATTTTTAAAATGTATATGGTCCGTGAAGAAACCCATGATAAAATGGAAATTAATAAATCTAAATACTAAACAAGGCGGTATGAGTATGCCAGATATTTTTAAATATTATAAAGCTAGCAGACTCATGCACGCCATGATCACACAGAAAAGTTGCTGATCTCTGTTCTGGTAATTGGGCTTACAGAGGGATTGAGAAAATAGCTTTCTAGAACTAAAATCTTTAATGGACATATTGGATGACTGGAAACATATAAAGACTTGTTGGGTTCCTTATCTTTAAAAATTCTTGAAGTTAATATTGAAAATATAAATCTAAATAAATGGTGTGGATTATATAGCATAAAGGGCATCATTAATGTAAATAAGGTCAAACCATTTTCTACTTTGGTTTGTGAAAAAAATCTACCAGGGAGAGAACTATTTAAATATTTAAGAATAAGTTCTCTAATTTTTAAGTATCTTCCAATTAGTATTTCAGAGGCAATGAAACATCTAGAATTGCTATATAATAAACCTAATTTTAAAGGCTATATCTCAAAATATGTAAACATTTTATCGATAATGAGCAAAGGTAATAATTGTATTGCAAAAAAAAAGATCTAGGTTTAGAACTGCATTACCATGAATGGACAGCCTCTCTAGTATTTAAACATATTCATGCTCTGAATTTGAGAGAGGTACAATATAAAATTCATAATAGATGGTATTGGGTACCAAGTACCTTAGCTAAATTAAAGAACTGTACAAATCAAGATACAAAGTGTTGGAGATGTGGTCAGTATTTAGGCACATTTCTCCATATATGGTGGACTTGTCAATTGATAATACCTTTTTGGGAAGAGGTTTTTTGTTCATAAAAACTATATCTGGGGAGGTGGAGCCAGTGGCGTACTAAGGGGGGGGCGGTCCGCCCCGGGTGCCAGCCGGGTGGGGGGTGCCATGGCCAGCCCCCCGCCCCCCCCCATGCTGCAGCCGCCCGAGCGCTCTGTGAAGAGCCTCAGGCGGCTGCAGCTTTGCCCGGGCGGTGCGTCCATGAGGGCGGACCGCACCGCCCGGGCGCAGCCTGAGGAGAGGCTGACAGGAGGGAGCGCTCCTGTCAGCTCCCTCACTGCAGCATGGTCCGACGGGTACAGAGAGCAGCTGTCTCCTGTACCCGCCGGACTAACAGGAAGTGCACACTCAGTGTGCACTTCCTGTTAGTCCGGCCGGGTACAGGAAACAAAAGCTCCCTGTACCCGCCGGCTATACTGGGATCGGCCACGCTACAGGGAGGTAGGGGGGAGGGGGAGAAAGAAGGGTGAGAGAGGGGTGAGAAAGAGAAATAAGGGGGGGTGAGAAAGAAGGGGGGGTGAGAAAGAGAAAGAAGGGGGGGTGAGAAAGAGAAAGGGGGGTGAGAAAGAGAAATTAGGAGGGTGGGTGAGAAAGAGAAAATAGGAGAGGGGTGAGAAAGAGAAATTAGGAGGGGGGAGAGAAATTGAAATTAGGAGGGGGGGTGAGAAAGAGAAATTGGGAGGAGGAGAAGGAAATTGGAGCGGGAGGAGAGATTGACATACATCACATACACACAATGCACCCCTTGCACACAGAAAAACACACAGACACACATACACAAGCAATGCAACCGTTACACACAATGCATCCCTTACACACACAGAAACACACAATGTATTCATTACACACACTCAATGCACCCCTTACACACTTTCAATGCATCCCATACATACACAGAAACACACCTTGCAGTCCTTACACATACAAACACAATTTCACACAATGCATTCCTTACACACATATCAGGACATCCCTTACACACTCCACCCCCTGTGAACAAACTCATTGGTGGAACATGAAGGTGGACCCTGGGACCCAGACCTTGAGCTGTGTAAAGGACCCCCAAAAAATGGAGCTGCTTCCCGTTCTCCCAGAACATTGATTTTTGTGACCACAGTTACAAACCGCCTCCAGAGAGCCTGTTCTGCACCAGACCAGTGGAGCCAGACTGCAGCTAGAGCCCATCATCATCCTCATCTGGTTGTAAGTAGGCAATCTAGTATATTATTCGTGGCACTAAGCTCTAATTTACCTCACATTAAAGAAACACTATAGTCCCCAGAACCACTTCAGCTTAATGTAGTGGTTCTGGTGTCTATAGCCTGTCCCTGCAGGCCTTTTAATGTAAACACGGCGGCACTGCAGCACTGGCGTTAGTTAACATGGCAAATCATATGGTTGGGGCATTGTGATGTCACATGGGGGGCGGCAAACTTTACTTTTGCCTAGGGCGGCAAAAATCCTTGTACCGGCCCTGGCTGGAGGGGGCTGTGTGAGCTGTGGCCGCACAGTGTCCCATGGTAGTTAGGGTGCCGTGCGGCCAGTACAGCTCACTCAAGCAAACAGCTGATAAACTGGCCGCACGGAGGAAATGTGTATGTGTGACTGTCTGCCTGTGACTGTGTGTGACTGTCTGCCTGTAACTGAGTGTGTGACTGTCTGTCTGTAACTGAGTGTGTGACTGTCTGCCTGTAAATGTGTGTGTAGGGCTGCAGGGATTTTGTAGAAGGGGGTGGGGGTTTTGTATTGGGACAGGAGTCTTTATAAGGGGGGATAAGCAGGGATTTGTGGAAGGGGGTTGCGGGGGTTTTGTAGATGGGGCAGTACAGGATTTGTAGAAGGGGCAGGACAGAGGTTTTGTAGGAGGGGCAGGGCAGGACAAGGGTTTTGTAGGAGGGGCTGACAGCGGTTTTGCAAAGTTTACAAATTGTAAAAATAAAAGAAATAAAACCTTTAACATTTTTTACAGGTTTTTGGGGGGGGGGGGGGGGGTGCCAAGCACAGGATCCGCCCCGGGTGCCAAATGCTCTAGGTACGCCCCTGGGTGGAGCCAAGCTACCATGCTGAGCGGTCGCACAGGAGAAGAGCTCCATGCAAAAACGCTTATAATCGGACAAAAACGGGGCAAAATCCTACCTAATCGAACGACCTGGAGAAAGGAGCTCCACATGGCAGACACGAGCACCAAGCACCTAGACCGACATCAGCGGCATCTCATCGGGGATAGACCTGAGGCCTTCCAGAGGCCTGCAGGTCTCCCCGGCATACTCACTTGCCCCTCCCCCCCACCGGTGAGGGATATCCCGGCAACCTAAGCCTGTGACAAAGCGGCAAGTATACAACAGTGCCTGTCCCATATAACCGACACAGCACCAACATTCATGGCGGACACCACATGTAACCCCCTGAACAATGATCAGTAACTCTCCCTGGAAGAAAGGCTGGATCGCTTCACAGGAGCGGCAACCCAAGGAGAGACCAAGCACAGACGCCCGGCTCCCAGCCGCGGTATTAACAAAGTTAAAAAGGTGGGAAGGAGGAGACGGGCAACACGATATAAACCTCGCAACCGCAAACCAAGACCAGCTGTGAGGTGCCCTACCTACCAGCAGGGACTACCCCTACACAACTTAATCTCCCTCCAGACGATCTGCGCTTACCGCGAGGAGTACCCTCACAAGAGACCACAGAGACTTACTTCAGCACCCCACCGTACAACCACAGCAACCTGGAAAATGCTTGCCCAAGAGGCTACACCGCCCTGCACGCCGGCGATCAAAGCAGCTCCTAACGGACTTAAGCACCTTCCTGCTCACAGCCTCCCATCCCTGGGCATCGGCTGAAGTTACTCGGCTTCAATGTGACGGACTATACAAACATAGTTACATAATTACATAGTTACATAGTTACATAGCTGAAAAGAGACTTGCGTCCATCAAGTTCAGCCTTCCTCACATTTGTTTTTTGCTGTTGATCCAAAAGAAGGCAAAAAAACCCAGTTTGAAGCACAATTTTGCAACAAGCTAGGAAAAAAATTCCTTCTTGACCCCAGAATGGCAGTCAGATTTATCCTTGGATCAAGCAGTTATTACCCTACATTGAAAGATTATATCCTTGAATATTCTGTTCTTACAAGTATGCATCTAGTAGCCGTTTGAACATCTGTATGGACTCTGATAAAACCACTTCCTCAGGCAGAGAATTCCACATCCTGATTGTTCTTACAGTAAAAAAACCTTTCCTTTGCCTTAGGCGAAATCTTCTTTCTTCCAGTCTAAGCGCATGGCCTCGTGTCCTATGTAAAGTCCGGTTTGTGAATAGATTTCCACACAATGGTTTGTATTGGCCCCGAATATATTTGTATAATGTTATCATATCCCCTCTCAGGCGACGTTTTCCTAAACTAAATAGGTTTAAATTTGTTAACCTTTCTTCATAGCCGATATGTTCCATTCCTTTTATTAATTTTGTAGCCCGCCTCTGCACTTTTTCTAGTGCCATAATATCCTTCTTTAGAACAGGTGCCCAAAATTGCACAGCATATTCAATATGAGGTCTTACCAGTGATTTATAAAGAGGCAAAATTATATTCTTGTCCGAGAATGAATGCCCTTTTTCATGCATGACAATACCTTACTGGCCTTGGCCACTGCTGATTGACATTGCACATTGTTGCATAGTTTGTTGTCTATAACAATTCCCAAGTCCTTTTCATGTGTTGTTATCCCTAATTCGCTTCCATTAAGGGTATACGTTGCTTGTGTATTCTTTACGCTGGGGTTTAGTAGAGGGGGTCGCTGTTTTTTTTTTTTTTAATACTGTACTTTTCAAAATAAACCTACGTTTCTATGAAAATTTACATTTTTTTCTTTGCGGCCCACATAAACTTAAACCTTTTGGGCTTCTAGCATCTCTTGTGGGATTTGGCCCATGTGTTTGATAATATTAAATAAGATTGTGAGATGTGTGAGTAAAGTGGAAGCTAGTTTAACATAGTGATAATTGGATAGTCCATCAGGTCCTAGGGACTTGTGTTTAGGAGTGGAGATGATGGCTTTATGAACTTCCTCTTCTGTGAACAGTGTATCTAATATGCATGCTTGTTGTCGAGTGAGCTTGAGGAAGCTTTTTATGCAGTCTACAGTGGGTTGAGAAACTGTTTGGCCAGTTTTTGAATGATATCAATTTGGCCCATGTGTTTGATAATATTAAATAAGATTGTGAGATGTGTGAGTAAAGTGGAAGCTAGTTTAACATAGTGATAATTGGATAGTCCATCAGGTCCTAGGGACTTGTGTTTAGGAGTGGAGATGATGGCTTTATGAACTTCCTCTTCTGTGAACAGTGTATCTAATATGCATGCTTGTTGTCGAGTGAGCTTGAGGAAGCTTTTTATGCAGTCTACAGTGGGTTGAGAAACTGTTTGGCCAGTTTTTGAATGATATCAATCGTTATTAACCCCTTAAGGACGGCAGGCGTGCTATGCCGTCCTTGGGGACCCGACTCTAAACACCAGCAGGCGGCATAGCACGTCCACGCTGTCCAGGGAACTTACCTACTCACCGGGGATCCCACGCCACTGATTGCAATGGGGGGACTTACCTGGCATCCGAGGGATCCCCCCTGCTGCCGATCCGGACCTCACGATCACATGGACGGAATAGCCGTCCATAGCAGTGCCAGCAGGGGGAGTGCCTGGAATGACAGGTAGTCCCCCTGCTACCTGAAATAAATTAAAAGTTTTAGAACCGTGTAAAATAAAATAATATATACTTCGATTTTATATGTATATTTATATACACTTACACATACATACACATAGACTAAGTGTATTGTAATATTAATATATATAGAGAATTATATATATATATATTAATATCAAAATACACGTAGAATGATATTAAGTTAAAAATAAATATATAATTATAATTCTACATATATTTATAATATAAAATAAATACATATATATATATTGATATCAAAATACACTTAGAATGAATTAATATATATATATCTATATACATAAATATATATGTATATATCACTATATATATATACCTATATATAAATTAAAAATAATTTAAAAAAATTATATATATACATATATATATATTAATTCTACATATATATATTTATGTAATATTTTTACATAAGTCATTTTATTAATTACAATTTGCAGGACCTGCCTGATAACACAGGCAGAAAGTCCAGATAATTTAATTTGCTAGCACTATATTTAACCCTGTAACTTTCCAAGACACCATAAAACCTGTACATGGGCATTATTGTTTTACTCGGGAGACTTCGCTGAACCAAAGGTATTGCAAATGGGGTATGTCCAGTCTTTTTTACTTTTTTACTAGCCACTTAGTCACAAACACTAGCCAAAATTGGCATTCAAATTAGTTTTATGCCTTTTTCACACATAAATATTAACGCTAACTTTGGCCAATGTTTGTGACTAAGTGGCTACTAAAAAAGACTGAACATACCCCATTTGCAATACCTTGGGTTGTCTACTAGTACAAATGGTATGCCATCATGGGGGTAATTCTCATTCCTGGGCTACCATACAGTCTCAGCTTTGTTGGGAGCATATAATGTGGCAGTCATCAGTGGGGATCCATGTAATGTTCCTACGAGAATCAATATTCTATCTAAGTCATCTGCATATTTTGCCGTTAGTTGAAAACCCCAGTCCTTGTGGAAAAATATAGAAATCCCTTTGGTTTTATTCGAGGGGTATGTGTTAAATGCATTCCTCAATTTGGTGATACCCTCAAATTAAAGCTGAGAGACTAAACAGACAAAACAACAAATATTTCCGGACCTAACTGTATTTTCATTTAGTCTGTAAGGGGCAACCCAATCCTAGTTGACTCCACTATTATACATTTATGCTATTAATACATTGTTGTAAAAATACTTCAAAATATGGTATCGGCAGGTTGGGGCCTTTCAAATGCACAATGTTTTATAAATCTCTGCAGGCAACTGTGATGAACAGGAGACAGGGAAACTGGGGCGCTACATCAAGTATAACCTGTCACAATCACCTCCTTAGTAGCCAAGGAATAATGTTTAATTATTGTAAGTATAGAATTTTACTAGTATTTATTAGAAAATTATCTGGGCTGACAGGGGCACTTTTGTTTTAAAGGACCACTATGCTGACCAGGACCACTTCAATGAACTGGTCTGGGTGCAGTGACCGTATATGTCCGTATTGTCCTGCAATATGAAACATTGCCGATTTGGATTTCAGCAATGTTTACATTACAGGTCTAAACACCTTCCTGACAGCCACTAGATGGTGCTTCTGCACCAACAAACGAGTCAGACTCGGTTCTTTGATGTTGGATGTCCTCACACATTGCATGAGGACAATAAATGTCCTTTGATGCTACTTATAGAGAAGCAGTGGATTCAAAGCTTTTCTATAAGAAACATTTAGTTAGAGGAGCTTAGCACTCTATGAGAAGCACTGGATAGGATGAAGAGTTGGAAGACATTAGCATGCTTGCTGACGAAAAAGGAGGCAAGCCGGGTGGCTCCAACAACAGTGTCTCAAAGCTGGAAAGAAATAAAGGCTTGTTAGTATTCAATTTTTAATAAGGAAAAGAGGACAAGGCAGGCAGTAGTCACTATTATTGCAGGTAACTTATAGTCCTGGAAAAAAGCAGATCATTTTTGGGGCTATAGTTTCCCTTTAAGGTCATTTAACGCAAGTAGAATAGTTATCCATCTGGCACAGCATATTTTCAGCAGATTAGAATTGGATGTTGTCAGTGCCATGATAACGAGCAATTTAAGCAGGAAGGCAGTAGATGAACTGAGTGAGCCAGTGAGAGTGGAGGTTGTTGTCATACCTGGGACACATGGCAGCCACCAAGATCCCAGTCCCTTCCGTGAGGTGAACGCCACGTTACTGGATACCTCTAGCTCAGGGGTCATGTTGCGTTCACCTCACGGAAGTGCAGACAGCTCTGTACTATCTGCGAGGTTAAAGGATTTCCATGGCAACCTCGTGCCATCTACAGACGTCCTTTGGAATCACAGTATAAATTTTATAATCCCCCTTTAGTGATGTCATTATTGTTGGATGCCTTGGTCTACCCTGCACAGATCACACCCCTTTGTGTGTCCTGGTGCGGGGTGGTGATGGTGTCCAATAGTATTCTTCTTTGCCATATATAAATTCCCCTCTTTCTAGGAATCATTGCCCTGTTATGGTTCTTGTTAGCATTATATTATTATTCTGTATTGTTGCTGGACCGGTTTTATATTTTTACTATTCTGATTCTCTGTATCACTTTGACTTTGGCTTATATTCTCGTTCTTGAGTACCTCTGTATCCATTGACCTAGGCATCCTTTATTACTAAATTTTCTCGCCTTTTTAGGCACATGTTAAGCCCGGCCACTCTAAGGACTGGTATATGTATCCTGCTTTTCCTTCTATTTTTGCTAATATACTTCTCACTGTGTGTAGGGGTTACTCCAAGCCTGACAGTTGGTATAACTAGGTTTAGGAAAACCAGCCTAAAAATACAACAATACACAACACTTCTAGGTAAAATCTTTCAACATAAATACTTAGGGACTGAATGGGCCAAATTGTAATTATTGCCTGAACACTCAACAAATTAAGGAAAATCTCCCCTAAATAAAATGATTTATGGAATAGAAATCATAATTGCTCTCCTATCTGACCGCAAATAAAATACTTGAAACTCCATCCCACAATAAGTCATTACTTTTTACATAAGGGTAAAAGGATGAATGAATATTGTCTTAGCCTCTTAGGTGTGTTTAACAGAGTATTAGAGTATCAAGAAATGTATCTTGAAGCCTATTTACAAAATGAGTGGATGTATTTCAATGTACGCCAGGGGCGGCCTGGACCGGAGGGCAGGGAGGCAATTGCCCTCCAGGCCGCCCTAAATAATTTTGAAACCGGCCGCAGCGGGCTGGTTCTTATGTGGCAGCCGCCTGAGCGCTCTGTTAAGAGCCTCTGGTGGCTGCAGCACAGCTTCTCCCCTCCCCTGTAGCGTGGCCGAGCTCCTCCTATCACTTCGGCCAGAGAGTAGCTCGGCCACACTACAGGGAAGGGGAGTAAGAAGAAGGGGATTGGTAAGAAGAAGGGGTGGGGGTAAGAAGAAAGGGTAGGGTAAGAAGAAGGGGGTGAGAAGAAGAAGGGGTGGGTAAGAAGAAGAGGGGGTAAGAAGAACAAGGGGAGGTAAGAAGAACAAGGGTGGGTAAGAAGAAGGGGGAGTAAGAAGAACAAGGGGGGTAAGAAGAACAAGGGTGGGTAAGAAGAAGGGGGGAGTAAGAAGGAGGGGGGTTAAGAAGAAGGGCCAGTGCAAGCATTATTCCCACCCTAGGCACTCATACAGACTAGCACACATGCTGACTCATGTATAAACACACACTGATCCATGCTAACTAACGCACATGTATTGCCCCATATACACACTCTGACCCATGCAGAGACACATATACAGACACACACTGACCTATACAGACAAACACTGATTCATACAGGCAAATACTGACCTATACAGACACACACTGACCAATGCAGACACGCACTGACTCATGCAGACACAAACTGACCCATGCAGACAAACACTGACCCATACAGACACACACTGACCCATACAGACACACACTTACCAATGTAGACACACACTGACCCATGCAGACACACACTGACTGATACAGACAAACACTGACCCATGCAGACACACAATGATCCATACAGACACACACTGACCCATGCAGAAATACACTGACCCATACAGACTGACATACACAAACATACTGAATGAAGCAGACTAACACACATTCTTTGACACACATCTTACCTCCATTGCTACTCCTATGCTCATCTTGCCTGCGCCTAGTGGCCCATCACTTTCTCTCTCAGCCCCACCTTTGCTATTCTCCCGTCTACTTGCCCCCACGTACAGGGGAAGGGGCGGGAGTGAAAGATTGAAGCGCCCTCGCACTGCTTGGGCATTGGATGCATGGGAGGGGGCCTGGCTCTTAGGGCTGACGTGGATGCCGCCGGATCGGTGTTCTACCGGGCGCTAGTGAGCAGCAATGTAAGTGCTCCCTGGCGCCCGGTAACATGGCCGGCGGCACGCTCAAAATAATAGAGGGGTGGCCACAGGTCAGCGCACACTTGATCATAAAGTCAGGGCCAGTGCCCCCTCTTAAGCAGCGCCCAAGGCGGCCGCCTCGTTGCCCTATAGGAAGTGCCGGCCCTGCATACATTGCAAATAAAAACAAACTAAAAAATAAAGTCACTGCGGGTGGAAAGGAGCTATCATATGGAGGGGGGGAGGAACTGCAAAGAGTACTGCAAGGTTGCTGGAGCAAGCGGAATGGGAGATCGGCCACCTCACCCATCCATCTAGTGTGCTAGGCCCTGCTGGAACCTCCTTCAAGATTGTGAGGTATCAACACTGTGAGGTAGCCTAACCGTCTCCGGGATCAGGTAAGTCACTGATAGTGGCTGTTAGATCACCTGGGTGTCAGATAAACGGTGACATGCGAGGCACATCCAGCCAACATAAAACGGCAGTAGGAGGCGAGGGAGCAGTGAGCAGTGATCTCCCTGCTCAGCTCCCTCACACACACAGCAGTGATGCTGGAGCCTGAATATGACGTCACTCCGGCATCCTTAAAAGGTGCGCGAGGGAGCTGAGCAGGGAGATCACTGCTCCCTCGCCGCCACACACCAGCCGCTCAGCAGCCCCACTGGACCCCAGGGACTGCTCTCCAGCTACCCAGCAGCCCCACTGAACCACAGCGACTTCATGCCAGCTGCCAGCAGCCCCACTGGACCCCAGGGACTCCATGTAGCGGTACTTACCTTATCCGGGGGCCGGCCGGGGTCCTCTATTCCCGCCGCGTACGGTCCTACATGAGCCGCGCGCGTTCACCATTCCGACGAAGGCGGGCACTGACCGCGAGATGCGGTCACGTGTTCTGCCTAGCTCTAAGCGCGCCGCACATCTCGGGCACGCTCTTAAAGGGACAGTGGGAGACGAAATGTAAAACGGTCTCCCATTGGCCCCTGTCATCCCACATTCCCCATACACTCACATTTTGGGGGCATGGATATGACAGGGGCCAATCAAATTAAATACTAGGGTATTTATACTTACCTCTCCCTTAACTCCCTGCCCTATCGTGGTTTCTGTTTCAGTTCCCTTTAGTGCTTGTTGTGTTCAGTTGTGACTTTTCGTGCTTGACCTTGGCTTTGTATTTGACTCAGTTTTTCTCTTTATCCCTGTTTGTCTTGTTTGCCGACTTACTGATTCCTGTGTACCAGTCCTTGGCTAGTTCTTGTTTTCGCTGTCTCTTTGTCCCCTTGACCTCGGCTCGTTCCTGACTCTGTCTATTCTCTGTTCTACGTCGAGTCCGGCCATTCTAAGGTCCGGTAAGACATATCTGCCTTGTTGTTGATGTTGATGTTGCCTTGCTATAATAGCGGTATATTCATTTATTACACTTTTTAAATTTTTGTTTTTTTATATACTGTCTTTTTCACCACTTCGTTGATATTATCCTTTTGTGTTTCAAGGATACAGTGGAGAGCACTTTTTTTTTATTTGATTTGTTTTTTTATTATGATACATTTATACATTTTCGCAGTTGTTTTTACAGCATTGCAATCTGAGATGTTACTTTGAGTGCCCTCTGTATTTATACAGTGTTTTATGGAACCTTTAAAATAGTCTCTCTATGTCTGTACATTTTATTAAAATATTTTTGTGATTAATATCACTGGTTTTGATTTCTGTAACTAGGAGCACTCACACTGTTTTATATTTAGATATTTTTTCTTCTCAAGTCGCTCTCTTTTGTGTGTAGCAGCCAATATTAATTAATTATTTTTATATCTAACTATATTTTAGTTATCCTTATTGCATTGAATAACCACACATGCCGAGACTGGGATTATACCGTCCGCTTGCTATACAGCAAAGGTATTTTAAGTGCGAGTTAGTTTTTTATTGAGTTAATCCTCCAAAATAGATGTGACATTTTGCACTTTTATTTTCTTGTTCTGTTTTTTCCGAGGTTCTCTAAAGACTGAAACAGTTAACTATCGACCTCCAATAAGTGTATGTATATATATATATATATATATATATACACTGCTCAAAAAAATAAAGGGAACACTTAAACAACACAATGTAACTCCAAGTCAATCACACTTCTGTGAAATCAAACTGTCCACTTAGGAAGCAACACTGAGTGACAATCAATTTCACATGCTGTTGTGCAAATGGGATAGAAAACAGGTAGAAATTATAGGCAATTAGCAAGACACCCCAAATAAAGGAGTGGTTCTGCAGGTGGTGACCACAGACCACTTCTCAGTTCCTATGCTTTCTGGCTGATGTTTTGGTCACTTTTGAATGCTGGCGGTTCCTTCACTCTAGTGGTAGCATGAGAAGGAGTCTACAACACACACAAGTGGCTCAGGAAGTGCAGCTCATCCAGGATGGCACATCAATGCGAGCTGTGGCAAGAAGGTTTGCTGTGTCTGTCAGCGTAGTGTTCAGAGCAAGGAGACGCTACCAGGAAACAGGCCAGTACATCAGCAGACGTGGAGGAGGCCGTAGGAGGGCAACAACCCAGCAGCAGGACCGCTACCTCTGTCTTTGTGCAAGGAGGAACAGGAGGAGCACTACCAGAGCCCTGCAAAATGACCTCCAGCAGGCCCCAAATGTGCATGTGTCTGCTCAAACGGTCAGAAACAGACTCCATGAAGGTGGTATGAGGGCCCTATATCCACATGTGGGGGTTGTACTTACAGCCCAACACCGTGCAGGAAGTTTGGCATTTGCCAGAGAACACCAACATTGGCAAATTCACCACTGGCGCCCTGTGCTCTTCACAGATGAAAGCGGGTTCACACTGAGCACATGTGACAGACGTAACAGACTCTGGAGACGCCGTGGAGAACGTTTTGCTGCCTGCAACATCCTCCAGCATGACCGGTTTGGCAGTAGGTCAGTGATGGTGTGGGGTGGCATTTCTTTGGGGGGCCGCACAGCCCTCCATGTGCTCGCCAGAGGTAGCCTGACTTCCATTAGGTACCGAGATGAGATCCTCAGACAAATTGTGAGACCATATGCTGGTGCGGCTGGCCCTAGGTTCCTCCTAATGCAAAATGTAGCGGAGAGCTGATTTCCCACAGCTTAACTCCACTGATATATTAAAAGAATGTAGGAATATGTAGTAAATCCAAGAGAGTATCCAGCACAATCAGCAATAAAATCCAATAGTATCCCATCACCTTTTCCCAATCACTGGACAACACACAGTATCAGGAGTAGAACTGAAGTTTAATGGCAACATTCCTGCTTTTATGAGATTCTCCCATGCAAGGGAGGGACTCACCATAATTAGTACAGTAACCAATCCCATAGACGTTACCTCCCACACATCTCCTCCCCTTAGATTAACAGTTAACATAATTATACAGTGCATACTTTTCCCCAATTCTTAGATGTACCCCAAATCTGGGAGATACACCTTTAAATACCCCCTGGTAGCCCTGATCTGGGTGAGGAACATATCCAAAAATCACCCAGATCAGACCAGGGGTTCGGGAGTTATGAGAAGGTAAATATTTGACCGACCGCATGGGTAAAGTAGACGAAAATAGTTCCATGAGATCTGGCCCTGTGGTCGGTCTCTGTTCGTGCTTCAAAAGTCCCGAAAGGCTATGCCATCCATAGTTAAGTTTGTAACCGGATAAATCCCCTAGTTCGTGGGATTCATCCTACCGAACGACGGGCCGTTCGGGTGTTTCACTCAGTACTTTCAGCCGTCCTGGAGGTCTCAGTGGTGTTAGGTTAGCCGAGTGTCCAATTTGAGTTCCAGACACTTGACGACCAAACACCGCTGTTCGCGGGTTTAAGATGGCCACCGCCACGTGTTCGGCTGCCGAAATGGCGGCCACTCAGGGAATACAACAGAGTGTTCATGCGTTCAAGGGAATGTAACAAGCAATCAGGGAGGTAAATTACAGCCACTCTTCACACCAGGGTGGTCCGGTTGTTCGGTAGTTTAGTTCGGATGGTGAATATAGCAGTTCACATGCAAGCTGTTACATCTGTATACCGAACAAAGTATAGCCACCTATGGTGGTAGGTGATTCTGTGTAATCCAGGCACAGGGAAACTCTTAAGTGCCAACCATAAAGAGGGAATAGATTGGACAGCCAAAGGGGTTCTGCTACACAAGACAATGCTAGACCTCATGTGGCTGGAGTGTGTCAGCAGTTCCTGCAAGACGAAGGCATTGATGCTATGGACTGGCCCGCCCGTTCCCCAGACCTGAATCCAATTGAGCACATCTGGTACATCATGTCTCGCTCCATCCACCAACGTCACGTTGCACCACAGACTGTCCATGAGTTGGCAGATGCTTTAGTCCAGATCTGGGAGGATATCCCTCAGGAGACCATCTGCCACCTCATCAGGAGAATGCACAGGCGTTGTAGGGAGGTCATACAGGCACGTGGAGGCCACACACACTACTGAGCCTCATTTTGACTTGTTTTAAGGACATTACATCAAAGTTGGATCAGCCTATAGTGTGTTTTTCCACTTTAATTTTGAGTGTGACTCCAAATCCAGACCTCCATGGGTTGAAAAATGTGATTTCCATTTTTTATTTGTGTGTGATTTTGTTGTCAGCACATTCAACTATGTAAAGAACAAAGTATTTCAAAAGAATATTTAATTCATTCAGATCTAGGATGTGTTATTTTTGTGTTCCCTTTATTTTTTTGAGCAGTATATATATATATATATATATATATATATATATTTCCCACTAGAAGATCAAACTAGACACTGTTTCTCTGTGTAAATTTCTACATTTTGGCGCAGTCTACCACATTTCTTTTTGTCATGTTTGGTATTTC